GAGCTTAGAGAGTACTGTAGGAGCTTGGGGACCTGTCGCCACCAGGCATGCGTCCTCTCTCCTACTATGCTCATCCTACTGTGTGCATCCTGTCTGTGACTAGCATCTCACCCCCTGTTAGGAGCCTCTGCTCACGAGTGCATGCGTCTGTGGAAAGCTGCCCAGGGGCAGGGGGTCAGCTCAGATCTAAGTATCTTTAGGCCAAACTTCTGCAACACAGTTGCCACAGGGTCCTTCATTTCACACCCTGTCGGTGTGTTCTGCCTCCCTTCTCACTTCTGAATTTCTAAGTAGAGTGAGGTCCAGACTCCTGGGCACAGTTTACAGTGGCCTGTATGGCCAGTGTGTTTCCCCTGCCTTACCTCATGGGCTATGCTCTTTAGACCCTCTGAAATGTGCCTTTTGCTCACCCCATGTAGCACTTTTCTGTCCACGACCTTCCTAGTTATAGCCCCAGTGTCACTTCTCCACCAAGTGCCTTCCCTGGGCTTTCAGGTGAGATTTCTCCCCCGCCCCCGCCATGCACCCTTGGCGCCTTCCTCGTCTTTATTGTAGCTTAGAACATTTTAGTGCTTTGTTATGTACGGTTCCTAGAGCTTAGCCCACGCCTGCCACTTCATAGGTGGCCAATGAATGTTTTTGAGTGAAATAACATAGTTCTCAGACATACTATGATTCTGAGTTTCTCAGTTCCCCAGGCTTCTGAGCTTTGATATAACTTGAATCAAAATGATTTCTTATTAGAATGTTTAGTATTTATCCAAACCATTAATTTTGATTTAGATAGCGAATTTGGTTTATTGCTCATTGCTGTCTTTTTCTTTTTTTAAAAAATATTTATTTTCTTTTTAGTTTTAGGTGGACACAATATCTTATTTTACTTTTATGTGGTGCTGAGGATTGAACCCACTGCCTCATGCATGCTAGGTGAATGCTCTACCACTGAGCCACAGCCCCAGTCCCCTTTTTGCTATCTTTATAAGCTCTTTGGTTTAGGAAAGTTGAGTGTACAACATTTAAAACATTAAGGAACACTAGATGCGGATAAGGAACATCTGTAATTTTGTCACTCCATGAGATTATCCCTGTCAGCACCTTGGTGTATACTTTTCCAGTTTTTTTTTTCCTAATGCATGTGTCTGAGGGTTTTTTTTTTTTTTTTGGCAAAGTTAGATGGATCAAACTCAGTATTTATACCCTTTAGAAAGCTTTTTCCTTAAAAATATCAGGAACATAATCCCATGTTCTTTAATATCTTTCCTCACTGACTTTGGCAATGTTTTTAAAAAGACTGCACTATGCTATGATATGGAAACATTTTAAAAAATCAACTCTTTTATTTTAGTTGTAGATGGACATAATATCTTTATTTATTTTTGTGGTGCTGAGGATCGAACCCAGTACCTCACTCATGCTAGGCCACTGTGCCACAAACCCAGCATCTGGAAACATTTTTATATCATAATAGCATATGAAAAAAATCATAATTTGAC